GATATCAATGTTGTTTGTTTTCCTTTGTTCGAGCATCATTTGTTTATTTTTAGGGCGAATCGGACCCAGTCAAGGTGACTGGCGAGGTTTCAGGTTTGAAGCAAGGCCTGCATGGTTTTCATATTCACGAATTTGGAGATAATACTAATGGTGATTTTTCTTTCATAGGCATTCATATAATACGTTAATTAATTATTTATAAAACTAATTTATTAGTATACTTCATTTCATAATTATCTTTTTGTAAATATTCAGGTTGCACCAGTGCTGGACCTCACTTTAATCCTCTTGGTAAAGAGCATGGAGGACCTACAGATGACGTTCGTCATGTAGGGGACCTAGGAAACGTAGAAGCTGGAGCTGATGGTATAGCGAAAATCCAAATAACCGACAAATTTATTAATCTTCATGGAGTTCATAACATTATTGGCAGAACACTTGTGGTAAGTAACTAATGTTTTAATAGTTCAATAGTATTGTATAATTATTAACATAAGAGCTTTCGTTTTCACAGGTTCACGCTGATCCCGATGATTTAGGCAAAGGAGGACACGAGCTTTCAAAAACTACTGGAAATGCAGGAGGGCGTTTAGCATGTGGCGTCATCGGTATCACAAAAGCATAAAACTATTATTAAAGATGAAAACGAAAGCTTTATTGTATTCTATTATTATTCGAAATAGTAAAAATATCATTCCGATAAATTTAAAAATATGAAATAAAGTATTCATTTAGATAAATTAATTTTGATCAATATGAAGAGGTTATTTTTGAAATTATGAAATGTTTTATGATAAAATCTACAAATTTTTCAAAATATTTTATTATAAATAGTACATTTATGTAAATAGAAATATAGTAATTTACATAATTGAAAAAATTTAAAAAAATAAAAATTCATTTTAATTAAGAAATTTTTCTACAATTTTTTATACATCTAATTCATCTATACCTCATTTGATTTGTATTTGTATAATTTGGTGGATTATTTGTTTCAAATTTAATAGGTTTATAATTATGGTTCATTTTATTGTTCATAAGAATATGTGGCATTTGCTTATTAGAAGGATTTTTCAATAAAACATAAATAAGCCAAAAAAGTCCCAAAACAGTTTTAGTTATAAATTCAATTATACTTAATATAATTGGAGTAGCAACATTAATAGAATTTAAAATTAGATAGCCCACTTCTATACTATATTCTTTTATTATTATAATTGCCTGAATTATTAAAGTGGCAATGGCCATTATCGTAACGGCACTAAATTTAAAGGTTGCACATACATTTGTATATGTAAAAATCTAAAAATATGTAAATTTTATATATTTTAGGTATTTTTAGGATGTACTTTGTATTCTATAATTAATATACCTGCTGTAATCTTGAATAATCCAACTTAAAATTCTTAAAACTGCTATCATCGGGTGATCGAAAAGGTTGAATGTATTTTAATTTTAAAATTATTTCTGATTGAAGAAAATGAATAGCATCAATTTTAAACCAATGTTTTCCAATAGTGATATTATGTAATTGAACCCATAACAGACAATTATTGGATTTATAATTTTGTGAATCATCTAAAAAAGTACATTCGTATATAATGAAAATTATTAAATTTTTATTTTATAAATTATGTAAAAACTTTATACTTGAAATACCAATCCACTCATTGCTCGCACATGTCAGTAATATTTCTTTGATTTTCCATAAATTTGCAACAATATCTTCACTTGACTCAATAATAATAATGTCTCTGGAAATAGAAATATTAAAGCACGGTGAAAATCTCTTTCATTTTACTTAAGTCAAATTAAGATTTTACCTATATGCTTGTAAGGATTCGACATAACGTCTTTCAATGTATCGTCCAAGAAAAATTTTATTTTGAGTCAATTGTAATATATCATTTTTTCTAGTTAAAATTGAACTCCTTTTATTCATGACTATGGAAACACAGAAAATTAAATTCAAAAGAAAATAAGATTAGACGAAAGTTATTAATTTTATCGATATTGTTATTTACAATATAAATATGGTAAAAAAAAATATATATATATATATATATATA